ACATGTTTTTCCTCTAAATACAATAGAATTGAACAGTTATTTCTCTAAATGCAATAAAATTAACCAGTTACTCCTCTAAATACAATCAAACGGACATGGTACACTTCTAAATACAATAAAATTAACCAGTTACTCCTCCAAATAAAATCAAACCGACATAGTACACTTCTAAATGCAATAAAATTAACCAGTTACTCCTCTAAATACAATCAAACTGACATGGTACACTTCTAAATACAATAAAATTAACCAGTTACTCCTCCAAATAAAATTAAACCGACATAGTACACTTCTAAATGCAATAAAATTAACCAGTTACTCCTCTAAATACAATCAAACTGACATGGTACACTTCTAAATACAATAAAATTAACCAGTTACTCCTCCAAATAAAATCAAACCAACATATATAGTACACTTCTAAATACAATAAAATTAACCAGTCACTCGTCTAAATTCAATGGAATTAACAAGTTTCTCCATTAAATACATTTACACTGACATTGTACTCTTCTTAATACAATGTTTTGGTAAAGAAAGAAGTTAATTTTGTGGCAACTTTCCTAAACATCCTTTCTCTGGAAAATCTTTTAGATTGGACCAAAATCTTGTCCCGAAAGCTGATATAATGACGTTCATCTATACTTCACAAAGTAATAACGCATTAGACGACGAGATTATGTTCAGTTGTTTTGGATCTGACACAATCTGCCAAAACACTTTTTAAAGTGATTTATTATTGCAAAAAAGCAAGCAATGATATATAGATTAAACACCAGTACAATAAATTGCGAAATACACAAAAGTAACAATAATGGTAATAGCCAACAACATCAAAGTGTGTTTGTTACATCAGAAAGAATAAGCAGTAAAAAGGGGGACAAGAAAGACTTATAACATCACCAAAGAATGCTTTATTATACAAGATGTAAAATAACATGTGTATACAGCTCCTCATCAAGACAGATGAACGGTGTATTTATAGCAATGCATTAATTGAATTCTTAATAAACGATTGTAGCAGATACAAAAGGTACCCCAGTGGTCCAGAAATATAACGTACGTGTATGTCAAGAAAAACGAAACTATTTGTAAAAATAGGCTAACTTTTCAACAACTTGTTGCTTTATTGTGCAAATACAATGATTATACATGTATATACTTTATAACATACGAGGAATAATTTGAATTAAACTGTAAGGCTGCATTTTTAATTGATTTGTTGTCACATATTTTTCAAATAAGGTATGAGAACCGACACCACACATCGGTTAACCATTCAATTTTGCAGCAACAACTGAAAGCATAGCTCCAAACAAATTTAACAAATGAAGGCATAGCTACACGTGAACATAAACACATTAGCAAATCAAGTCATTGATGCAAACAAAAAGATAAAGACATTGCAATACTTTGAGTTATATACTTAGAGGAATAAAGATGAACAGAAAATAACGTACTTACAATGAAGATTAAATGGATACAATATAATGTACTTACAATGAAGATTAAATGGATACAATATAATGTACTTACAATGAAGATTAAATGGATACAATTTAATGTACTTACAATGAAGATTAAATGGATACAATATAATGTACTTACAATGAAGATCAAAATACACTACCAACATGATGGAAGATTCGTGTAACGTAGAGGTAATTCACAACGTTAACGTCCAAATACAATTTTCATAGATCACCATTATCCTTTTTATTAAAGAAAAGATCCACGATCCCTTATCAATAAATATAATCTTACATACATCATAAACTGGGCAAAATAGATATCTAACTTAAAGTCACTTTCTCTTCCTTTTGAGTCCATATTCATTCAAGCACAAAACATATAAATTGCCATAACTTTATCTTCAAATACGAACACTTTATCTTCAAATACGAACACAAGTTAGTACACAACTTAAAAATATAACTTGAAACACAAAACAAGCACCGTTTACTATTGCTTCTGCAAAAACAACAAATTATATTCATTAAACACAAAGTTTATATTGAAAATGCTCGTTTCTTATTCAACGGTCTTTTCTGTTCTGTTTAAAAATGTTTGTTTCATATACATGTTTATATAAGCTCGAAACTATTTTACATATCTACTACGGTTCAGCAATAGGAACACGTAGCTTGTACATTGTCAATAAATGCTTTGCAAAAATAATTAGATAAAAATAGAAATGACATTTTTTACTCTTAGTACGTAAATTTAGGCAAAACATGTGTTTAAGACTCTCTAAGTTCATTACTGCAATGTATTCAAATACGCCCCTTTTCAAATTGTAATGTTAACACTAAAGAATTAATCTGCGGATGTATTTCATGTCATAATCAATTCAAAAAGGCCATGGCAGATCTGAAAAACATTGAACCCACCTGCACAAATTACGCGTATCCCCCCTACCTCCATTTATATCTATTTATAATCTCGTGAAGTCGTTCATTCACTGTGTTGAATTTATATTTTATAGGAACGATAAAATATTTATATCTTCCCTGAACGTTTATTACACTTAATAATGTGTCTATGTTCTTTCAACTGTGAAATAACTGATCTCAGCATTTTGTTGTTTTAAATGAGCCACATAAAGATGAATCATAATCATGTTTGCCGACTTTCATCGTAAATTAAAAACTGAAATAATTTGATGTCTGTCCTCATAAATAATTTGGGTTTTAATATTAAGTTGTACAGCTTCGTAGTATTATTATTACCTAGCTATAAATATGTTTCATATATCTTAATAATGATGTCCAAATATAACATATATTGTTACTGGTAAGTCTAATTTTCAATTTGTACGCACTTTTTTGGTGTTGTAAAAGCAGAATTTAGCGTTTATAAAATCAGCAGACGACAATTATATTTATATCATTGTATAATACTGTATCGTAAGGCAATTTCGTTCAAATTAAATATTTATTCTCAAGAATAATTCAACATGTATGAAAAAAAGATTTACCATTTTAATATCTTTTGTACTGGGTGTGATCAAAATAAACAACGTTATTGTTATGCAACAATAAGAAACAATGAAGATAGTTAAGAAAATATTAGAAATACTGGCTGCTGTCATAGGGAAATCTTTCTCGTAAATCTACACACGTTCATCATTTGTGTCTCATGTTTTATGGGATTTTAAAATATTTGGAATATCTCTAATAATACGAAATGTTCTAAGAGCCAAAAAATTTCATATGTCGAGAAGCACACCGCTGTTAAATTACTGTTTGATTTAATAAGGAAATAAAAAGTGCAAATTCAATATAGTTATATCACTATAGGCAACTGCAAAAATGAATATGTAGTTGAATTCAATGCTTTGAAGTTTACCCATTTCAGAAATGTGTATACGGTAACAAAATAACTAAACTGTAGTGCTGCGATTTTAATTAAATGTTGTTATATTTTTAAAATAAAAGGCGCACACTGACACCACAAATTGGCAAGCCAATCAATCTCGCCGCAGACGATCAGCACGAGGCTGTTAAATTCCTTTTAAATTAATGTGAAACTAAAGCAATCATGAAAATTCCATTTCATCATGTTCAGCGTATCATTTTGTAACATTTTGGTTATGCTTATTTTTGTCAAGCCATTATTGTATTTTTATCACTATCCTGTCACAATCAACATATATCATTTTCCAAACAATATAAAAGTACTTTATGTGTCTCAACAGAACAATTTTCGACGTTCATACCCGAGCTAGTCTAATATCAATTGAATTCCACAACGATGTTAGAAACAAATCATTTTATCTATATCAATATAGCGTGCTAAATCATTGTCCTCGGTGTTCGAATATACACTTATTCAGGAAACCATAGTAATTAATGTAGCAACAGAAATAATAGTTCAATCACAGAAACAGTCAATAAATACAATTACAAAACAATCGTAATTCCTTGTCAAGGTAAAACGTTTAAAGGTTCATATTATGACAATTATTTATTAATACAAAGGTATGTACATAATCAGCAGTGTGTTACATAATACATTAATTTTATTAACAGCAGCTATTGCTCCATGTAAAATTCAAGAGAGCAAGAGCAGAAATCAAAGACCCGTGTGAAATTAGATACATTATCCGGAGAATCTCAGCTAACTCTAAATGAAGTCATAAACTCCAGTAATAAAGACATAACTCCATAAATCAAAGCTACAAACCGTTTTGATGATACCTGACATATTTTGCAAATCATTTCGTTAAAAAAACAGATTTCATCTTAAACCTGGTACCATATAATATATTGAAAAGTGGAATCCCTAAAGAACGCCCAAAAAGGCAAAATTGAAAATGTTGCAGACTCGGTTTGATCAGGTCTGTTTATGGTCGGCAGAGGTTATTGCAATAGTTACAAAGTGGATTAAATAAACACGCTAAGTGATGAAAGAAGTTAAGGAATACCATTTTGGTGGATACTAGTCTCAAGTTGACCATTATTATAATTATATTATTTCCTTACGGTATTATCACTATCGTGTTTGCTTTTTTCCATATAATGCTTATGTATACTGTTAAATATTCTAGTAAAAGCCTTTAAAATTCAGTTTTTATAAAGCAATTTTATTTAATCATCCGATCCTTATGTTTTTAAGAACTTTCCTAGGCCCAAAAATAAATTCTCCTTAACCTTTTTGGTGTTGCTCATGCTATTTCTGTATTATAAAAATTTTACTACTAGTATTATTTAATTAATCTTTAGCTTCATGTGTAGTTGAATACATCAAGAACTGAACCATACCTTCATTACATTAAAATTTAAACCATATCTTCATGTTATGTTTAACACACAGACAAAGAAATTATAGCGACCTGTCAAGTTTAATAGCTCATCTATTGAAGTCATATCTCCACATAAACTTAAAAAAACATTTAATACCAAATGAACAACATTGTTTTCCACAAAAAATGATATTACAAACACTTGATTCATACCATATAATATGAGTTAAAGATAAACACAAGGAATTATACTTACTGTGAAGAAATATTCACTAACAGATAATGGGAGCTTTATGTAAGATCATAAAAGATAACACCATCGATGTCGATATTTATCACTCTATAAATCATGCATACATTATTAACTTAACAACATATATATGTCTAAGTTTAGGTCATTTTCTACTTCTTGTTTCTCAATAGTCATTCAAGCATAACAGATATAAATTGTTATAACACGAATACACGTTTATAAACCAATCAAAGATATAACTTGAAATAAGCAAAACATCACTCGTGCTATGAATGTTATTAATTGTGACTACATACACAACAAATTATATCCATTAATCATAATGTTCACATAATGCAATCAAGGTCCATAGTTGCCAAGAAATGATTATTATTGAAAACACACGTTTGAACAAATCACGAACAATGTTTTCATTACCTAAGCAATTTTACCAGTTAGTTGAAGGTAGAAATCATAATAAGCATTTTAACAAAATACTTTTAGCCTGGCGAAGGAATACAGATGACCTTAATCATGCTGATAAACATTTATAACATATGAAGAAAATTAAGTGCTGTTACATTGCTGCTATTATCCCTAAAACTCGATATTATGATCCTCGCAATCACCCCTTTGTCCATAATTTAAAAGGAAAATTGCAAAATTTCAGCAAAGAGAAGACACACGTTTCATCTTCAATATCAATCATGCTTACTCCATTAACTTTGCAAATTACATATCTCATTTGAAGTCAACGTTTACTTCTCATGTCTTAATATTCATTAAAGCACAACAGCAATGCACCTGCAATTATGCAAATAAACCAAATTAAATTCCTACTTAGATTATTCGAAACAACACTGCGATACGAATGATATTTACTGTTGGTGAAAATCGTATTCATTATTTAACATAATTCATCCAAGTTTTATGTTGCCAAGAAATGATTATTATTGAAAACGCACGTTTCTTATTGAATGGTATTTTCAAGCTCTGATGAATACCTTTGTAATGATACTTCAACTATCTCCCGTGTGCTTCATATTAGCTTAAAATGTTTCTACATATATATTACAGGTACGTACCTGTCTGTTGTCAAATGATGAAATCAAAATAGAAATTTTCTAAAAATAAAAAGCATTTACTGTTTCTTTTAAGAACAACATGTGTTTGTTATTAGTTTCTTTTCAGAGGTTTCGTTTCGTATGGTATTTCGGTATAATACTCAAAGAACAATTAACCGAGTTTTTAGGCATTTAAATCATTTTATAAGCATTTTAAGCTGAAAGTTTTTTTCATTAGCTACGACATGTACGAAGAGACATTACGTCAAATGTTCTTCATTTGTGATGAAGCTAAGCAACTATTTTACGGAAAGTCAGTGGTACTACTCGAAGCCGAGTCGTGCCTGAAATAATGCACTAGAGGGCACCTAAAGTCCCCCTCAACCAGTTAAACTGGTCGATGTGACCCTTGAAACATATTTCGCTCTGTGGATAAGAACACATGGACATGTAGTCCTTTGGTATAGTGCACGCATCATTTGTATTGCGCCGGAAGGATGTTTTCTAATTATTAAAAAAATCCAACTAATACAATTATCTTTATGGTTTCAATTGGATTTGAATATTTCATATTCATGTAATATTTCTTTCTTAAGGTGTTACCATCTCCATTAATTCTTTCAATATTACAAAATGGATACTTTTAATTGCAATATTGCGATATATTCAGCTACGCACCTTTTTCTTATTTGCTAGTTAATAAATAACAGTTGCACTACCTGTAAATTTACCACTAGTATGAATCAGTGGATAGCATTTATCGGTCATATCTTTATGCCCAAAACATAAAGTTATTATAAGATCTAAAAGGACATGGCATATCTACAAACATTGAACCCACCTGCACAAATTACGCGTAACCCCCATACCTCCATTTATATCTATTTACAATCTCGTAAAGTTGTGTATATTCACATTGTCAGAATTATATTTTATATCAACCATAAAATGTTATTATTTTCCCTGAATGTTAATGTTATATATATGACTGTCATATATAATTTTTTTTTTCAAAATGAGCCACCTCAGAAAGATACATACCTGGTTTTCAGATTGTTAACTCTTGACTGTTCAGACACATTGGCTTGAAATTTGACAAAACTCTGTTTTCACTTTTCTCTTAAATTATGTAGGGTTTAAATTGTAATATTCCTAGGGTCAATTACTAATAAACACTCTTCTTATCTATTTATTGATATTACATAAATCGTGAACAATATACCATGCAAGTAAAAGTTTTGAAATTAGAATTCAAATTAGTGGTTATGTAAATCATGTTCACTAACTTAAAATATTTCTCTACATACAATCAAAATAACATGCTTTTCCTCTAAATACAATCAAATTAAACAGTTACTCCTCTAAATGCAATTAAAGCAACCAGTTATTCCTATAAATACAACGGAACCGACATTGTACACCTCTCAATACAATAAAATTAACCAGTCACTCGTGTAAATACAATGAAATTAACAAGGTCACTTCTCTAAATACGATTTAACTGACACTGTGCACCTTTAAATACATGTACACTGAGATTAAAAAGTTACTCCACTAAAATACATTTACATTGACATGTTACTCTTCTTAATACAATGTTTTTGTAAAGAAAGAATTTAATATTGTGGCTATAACAACTCTTTCTGAACATCCTTTCATCTTTTAAATTTGACCAAAAGCTTGTTCTGAAAGCTGATATAATGAAGCTCATCTATACTTCACAAAGTAATAACATATAAAACGAAATTATGTTCAGTTGTTTTGGATCTGACACAATCTGCCAAAACAATCTTTTAATGTGATTAATTATTGCAAAAAAGCAAGCACTTATATATATAGATTAAACACCCGTACCATTAATTGCAGAATACACAACAGTAATAATAATGGTAATAGCCAACAACATCAAAGTGTGTTTTACATCAGAAAGAATAAGCAGTAAAAAGGGGGACTAGAAAGACTTATAATATCACTAAAGAATGCTTCATTACACAAGATGTAAAATGACATTTAATTTATACATTTTCTCATCAAGACGGATTAACGATGTATTTATAACAATGAATTGATTAAAATTCTTAATGAACGATTTTACACGATACAAAAGTGACCCTGTGGTCCAGGTTAGCGTGCGTGTATGTCAAGAAAAACGGAACTATTTGTAAAAAAAGCTAACATTTAAACAACTTGTTGCTTTGTTGTGCAACGACAATGATTATATTTACTTTATAACATACAAGGAATAATTTGAATTTAACTGTAAGGCTGCAAATTTAATTGTTTGTTGTTAGATAAGTTATGCGAACTGACCCTACACATTGGTTTACCATTCAATTTTGCAGCAACAACTGAAAGCATAGCTCCAATCCAATTTATGTAATCAACAACTGAAAGCATAGCTCGACGTGAACGTAAACTGATTAGCAAATCAAGTCATTGATGCAAACAAAGAGATAAAGACAAGATACTTTGAGCTATATACATAGAGGAATAAAGATGAACAGAAAATAATGCACTTACAATGAAGATGAAATACACTAGAAGCTTCGTGTAACGTACAGGTAATTTACAACGTTAACGTCCAGATACAATTTTCATAGATCACCATTATCCTACTTATTAAAGAAAAAGATATAAATCCCTTATCATTAAATATAATCATATATACATCATAACCTGGGCAAGATAGATAACTAACTTAAAGTCACTTTATCTTCCTTTTCACTCCATATACATTCAAGCACAAAACATATAAATTGCCATAACTTTACTATTTTCAAATACGAACACAAGTTAGTACACAACTTAAAAATATAACTTGAAATACACAAAACGAACACCGTTTACTATTGCTTTTATATTCATATATTCATTAAACACATTTTATTGAAAATGCTCGTTTCTTATTCAACGGTCTTTTCTGTCCTGTTCTGTGTAAAAATATTTGCTTCATGTTCACGTTTATATAAGCTCGGAACTCTTTTACATATCTACTACGGTTCAGCAATAGGAACAGGTGGCTTGTAAATTCTTTGTCAATAAATGCTTAATTTTGCAAACATATAATTAAATAAAAATAATAAAGAAACGAATAAATTAACAATAAAAAAATTAGAAATGACCCCCATATTTTTACTCTTAGTACGTTAATTAAGGCACAACATTTGTTTAAAATTCTCCATGTTCATTACTGCAATGTATTCAGATACGCCCCTTTTTCAATTGTAATGTTAACACTAAAGAATTAATCCGCGGATGTATTTCATGTATAGAACATAATATTTTGATAAATTTAAAAAGGCCATGGCAGATCTGAAAAACATTGAACCCACCTGCACAAATTACGCGTATCCCCCTACCTCCATTTATATCTATTTATAATCTCGCGAAGTCGTTTATTCACAGTGTTGAATTTACATTTTATAGGAACGATAAAATGTTTATATCTTCTCTGAACGTTTATTACACGTAATAATGTGTCTATGTTCTTTCAACTGTTAAATAACTGATCTCAGCATTTTGTTGTTTTAAATGAGCCACATAAATATGAATCATAATCATGTATGCCGGCTTTCACCGTAAATTAAAAACTGAAATAATTTATTGTCTGTCCTCATAAATAATTTGGGTTTTAATATTGAGCTTCGTATGTATTATTACCTAGCTATAAATATGTTTCATATATTTCAATAATGATGTGCAAATATAACATATATTGTTACTGGTAAGTCTAATTTTCAATTTGTACGCACTTTTTTGGTGTTGTAAAAGCAGAATTTAGCGTTTATAAAAGCAGCAGACGATAAATATATTTATACCGTATCGTTAAATAATTCCGTTCAAATTAAATAACTTCATGTCATATTCTCAAGAAAAACTTCACATTTATGAAAATAAATAATTTACATTTTTTAATATCTCTTGTACTGGGTGTGATCAAAATAAACAACTTTATTGTTTTGCAACAATAAGAAACAATGAATAAAGTTTAAGAAAATATACGAATTACTGGCAGCTGTCATAGTGAAATCTTTCACGTAAATCTACACACGTGTAATGTTTATGGGATTTTAAAATATTTTGAATATC